AAGGACAGGAAGGCCTGGCGCAATATGGTTCATGGGGTCACGAAGAGTCGGACACGACTTAACGACTAAACAACAACAACAACAATATTTCATGCCTCTGAAAGATCGGCAATTTGTTTTTGGAAGCTACCCACATCTTCTAGATGCCAACAACAGTATTGCTTTTATTTGTTTCTCTACTCACTTTAAGCCAAATGCTCTCTACAGTGTTGCCAAATTCATTCATTCAGATTTCTGAGAAGACTTGGCCATTTTTAACATACTGTGTTAATTCCAGAATGCACACGTGTTTATCAAAAACTTGTTTACCAGCACCTCTGAATAAAGTCAAACCAATTCCCTGTTATAGCTGAAGCACAAAATGGCTTAATTTAGCATTATCACTGATTATCCTAGTACTTATTTTAGTATACTTCTACCCAACTAACATTTTCATCTGCCCACATTTCCTAACTATCTTATGCATCTAGGTGTTCTGTATTCTCATGCCTCTCCTGTTGTCTTTAAAATAGGGCATTCATATAGGTATGGGACGGGGAGCTTATGACTGGTGCTGAATACAGTGAAGAGAGTGGGTTGGCTCAGTCTTTGGGTGTTCCATGTCTACTCACCTGTACTTGGCTGCCCAGACAGCTGATACAGGAAGTCTGTTTGCTGCCTACAGACCTTTCTTCCCTAAACTATGCTACACATAAAAGAAGTAAAATGCATGCCTTCGCATATGCACGCAGCAGCCAATTGTGAAGCAGGAACCTCTAGCAAGAACTGTTGCAAGGTGGATAGTGTGCCCTGGAACTTATCTAAATATCCAAATATCTGGATATATAATAGGGGCTCATTTAGGTAATTCGCAGATAGACTAGGATGTTCACCTAAAATTAGACTAGTTTGCCAATACTTATTTATTTATTAAAGTTATATGCTGCCCATCTCCCCCAGAGGAGATTACTTACACACAGAAGTAGAAACCTGCAAGAAACAAATCAGCATAAGCAGCTTTTTAAAAAAAGACATCTTATACCATCAGAAATCCCAGGGTCAGCACATCTTGGTGCAGTATCTAAATGTTTTGGAATCCAAAAGACACTTCTGAAAGTTCTCCTTGTGAAACTGTTTCCCTTAGTTATCAGTTAATTAGTCCCCAACAAATACCACACCTTTCTTGATTTCCTGCCAACATCCATCCCAAAGACAAGTTTAAAATTCCAAATGGCCTTTTTTTGCTCCCGTTGCTTCAGCTTTTCAGGGCCAACAAAGCAGAACTACATGAGCCATTTTCAAGAGGGATTCAGAAAGAGACTTTGGCTGTCTGGTGACTAAGTCTGATTGACAAAATCAGCTATCTGGGATTTTTAGTAGTCACTGCAAAGTCCACTGCCAGATTGGCTACTTTATGTCTGTGGGCAATTAGGAACAGCAGCTGTAAGCTGATTGTTTTATAACCAGATCCTGGGTGGAAATTAAGCTGGCTTGAGAACTTTCTGTCCAGATTTCAAGCTGTGGCAACAATGCTGAGCAGGTGTTTTGTTACAATGGCAATTGCCCTGGCCACCGCTGGGTGGATTTGCCTATAAGCACCCTCCAACGGGTGCCAGGAAAGGCAAGCATGGGCACTAATCACTTTTCTTTCTGTGGTGCATCTTTGAGGATGCAGGGTTTCCATTTGCATGAGCAAATAGCAGCCAGAAGTCATTATAGAATCACACAGTGACAAGGGATCTTAGAAGTTCAACCCCTTGGTCAGGGCAGGAGTTGTTTGCTCATGATGAACATTTCACTGTTCCAGGTCTGGTGGAAAAAAATAAGAGAAAAAACACCACAGTTTCACCACTTTGCCATTCTTCCGGGCAACTACAGAGACAACTCCATGCAGTTTTCTTGGCAACATTTTTCAGAATGGCTTACTACTGCCTGTTTCCTAGGCTCAGAGAGAATGACTGGCCCAAAGTCACCCAACTGGTTTTGTTCCCAAGGAGAACTAGAGTTCATGGTCTCCTGGTTTCTAGCTGATGCCTTTAACCACCACATCAGGCTGGTTCTCATGCAATAATATAGCCACAAATACACTGTAACTTAAATGTATCCCAGGGCACTACATTTGCACAATACTTATTTGTAACAAAATAATTCTTCTAAACCTTGTTTCATCTTTTTTATAAAAATGAGCTCTTCAGTAATGATGTGTTTAAATACCATTGTGAAAAATAGGATGACTGTTACTTGAAGATGTTGCAATAAGACCTCTATTACCATTAGCTATTTGTTCAACTAAGGACCAAGACATCTTTAGTTCTTATGGTTCTACTAAAGAACATACAGGTGTTTTACACAAGTGATTTACATACCTTTTTACCTTAGCTGTTAATCCAATAATTATGGTTACTGATTTTAATCATGTCTTACATATGTTAGAACATAACACTGTTCCAGCTAAATTTAATTTTTGTTCATAAAAAGTTTTACAAGCTTATATGTTGGAATTTAATTTGGTGGATGTACATGACTTTTAAATCCTTCATTGCAAGAAAATGTATTTTTTCAACTTGAATGTTTTCATGCAAATTTAATGAGAAAAGTAGGGAAGAGGTACTGAAATATCAAAAATCTGACAAGTGTTTATGGGGGGTTTTTTTTTGATTTTTTTATCCTGTCTTTATTATTTTTATAAATAACTCAAGCTGGCAAACATACCTAATACTCCTCCTTCCTCCTATTTTCCCCACAGCAACAACCCTGTGAGATGAGTTGGGCTGAGAGAGAGGGACTGGCCCAAAGTCACACAACCAGCTTTCAGGCCTAAGGCAGGACTAGAATTCCCAGTCTCCTGCTTTCTAGCCTGGTGTCTTAAACACTAGACCAAACTGGCTTTTATTATGTTGAATGAAAGCAAAAACCTGCATCATGATCAGCTTCAATTCCAAGCTTGTATTCAGGCTGCAGTGAGAATATTTCATTTATATGTTTCTCCATAGACTGACCTTGCTCAGCTTTATAAGGTATATTTAAAAATTATAAATTATTTCTTCAGTGTAGACACTGTATAAGGGACACATCACCTTGAAGATTTTTATTCACTTTCAGCTCTGTTCCTACCTCCTTGCAATCATTAGAACTTTTAAAAGTTGAATAAACATCACTTCATGTGAAACATCCACCAGGACCTTTAACTCTGCTGTTTTCTGATCTAAAATGTCAAATCTCTGCTGCAGCTCCAAGAAATTCTGTTTTACATATTTCACTAAAAAATTATTTGCAAGAATCCATTCAAATATATAAATCATGGGAAAGAGCTTTAAAGTGGTAAACCAACTCCATGTAATTTATGTTGCTATTACTTTTTCTTGTTAATTTTTTTCTTTCTATTTACTCCCCCCCACCCTCCACCCCGGTTACAGAACAGGGTATCCAATTTTCTCATTTTTAGTTACAAATGTCACAGTGCAATAATTTAAACACAAGAGGAATTTTCTGCTTACCAACTGAACAAAAAGCAATAAAAAACTTAGGAGACAGACTTTCACCTGGAAGCAGACTAAAATCATAAATCAGTCCACCAACATAGCAATACAGTAGTTTAAATCTTGGTTCTGCCCTTTAACGCTGGCCTATCTGTAGCTCTGTCTCAATTATTTAGTTCTCAAAACTAAAATAAATTATTAAAGATGCTAAAATTATCAATGGCAACACTTGTCACTGTTGTTCCTTGAGGCCACTAATCCATTGGCATTTGAATCAACATATCACTGCTTGTCATCCAAGCACAATGAGGTTTAAGAATATTAGCAGATGAAAAAAAAAATATGGAATCTGCTTCTTGACAATTATTTAATTTTGCTCCTTTCTTATATTTTCTCCTTTTATCTTTCCTTATATCCCCCTTCCTTCTTCTTACCCAGGATCACTTCCAGAGGTTTATCCCATCTGTTGGGGGACACTATGGAGCTGATTCCTACAGATATTCTCATAGTGGTGGGAGGATGGTGAGTGGTGTAACTGTAGGACCATATGGATCCAGTAAACTGCAGTATCCTCCCCCCCTTCCTCCAAAGCCTGGGAGCAAAGGTGGAGCTGGAGGAACTGGAACTGGCCACAGCGAGGGATCTGCTGGTGCAAGGGGAGGAGTGGATGGAGGTGGAAGTGGAAGTGACACCGGTGGTGGAAAAGGTGAGTATCTATTTTCATCCAATAGATGAGTAAAGCAATAAAATGCTTAGTATGAAAATCCTGTCCTTTTCAAGATCTTTCCTAAATCTGAATATATCTGAAGGAATTTCACTGCTGACCCTGCCTGAACTGGCTTGAAGAAAAGGACATACAATTTTTTCACCACAATTGATAGTGAAAATATGTAAGTATCCATATAGTTTCATAAAGAACTCTGGGGTTCTTTGATAACCATTACCCTGTTCAAATGAAGCAGTATGATTTTAAAGCAGGAAAAGCTATTTGATTCACTGATCCAAATCTTTAACTAAGTCTCCTATGTGATTAAAAAAAAAAACATTTTTGAAAGCCTGAAATTATAATATACTGAGCTGATATCTCCTCAACCATGAGATTGTATCTGTTCAATTCCTTAGGGGACAAATTTGTGACAAATCTGATCCCTTCTTTGTTTACTGAAAGTTGTAGGTACCTCTCTCCCTGATCCTCTTAATGACGAGGTTCCCAAATTTTCTCAATTCACAGTGCCCTTAGTAGTTCAATATTTTTTTTCATAGCACCCCTATACCAAAACTGTGGACTACCTTGAACTATAGTTTGCATGGTGCCCAACAAATGTCAAGTATCACTGTGTTTCCCTCAAAAATGTCAAATGTCTTTTCCTTTTTTTCTCTATCTTTATTAGCCCCAACCTTATTATTTTAATTTCTCCATGCTTTCTATAGTATGTCCTCTACTAAAACAAATTTGCTAAAACATTTATTTATTTATTTATTTATTTATTTATTCATTCATTTATTCATTCATTCATTCATTCATTCATTCATTCAATGTATATGACTGCTCATTCTGAGTCATGAAAAAAATAATGGCACTCTGAGTAAATAATGTTCAAATTAAGTTTTTGCTGCATCAGTTATTTAGTGTATTTATGGATAAATGTATCAGGAATGTTTGTGATGATGCTAAAGGATGTTGGTTGGGGGTATAAATGTATGTGCATTTTTGTATGTAAACAAGACAGTGTTGTCAGCTGAGAACCCAAATGCTTTGCAGCAAATATTAACTTGTATAACAAAAAGTAAGACTCTCAAAACTAATGTATCAAAGACAAGGTAGTTGTGTTTGAGTTATTACAAGTTACACATACATGGTAAAAAAATTAGAGCAAGTAGATGAATTTGTGTACTAGAAGTACACAATAGAGAGGTAAAAATGGAGGTAAAAGAGGTAAAAGTGGAGAACTGTTAGGATATACAAATACTGATACAAAGATAATGGGTAGTGCATGGTCCATTGCAGAGGATGAACATTTGTTGAAAGAAATGAAAATAGATGTTTATAAGAACCCAATTTGTTATCTAGAAGTGAAAGTTTTGTACGTCAGAGATACATAAAAGTAAGCTGAATGCAGTGGGAATGGGGTACTTAAGGAAGTATAGGTGGTATAATGAAAGAAGGGGTCAATAACAAATGGGTGATGAATGTGGATTGAATACAAAAGTGAGTCAGTACACTGAGGTGGTTTTTACATAGAGAGAAATCAAATAGGGATCAAATTGCAAAACAAATATATGAAGGAAGAAGGAATAGTCTGAGAGGAAAGGGAAGTTCAAGGAAATTGTGGTTGAATGGAGCTGATGAGATCCTCAAAAAGGGATAAGAAATTTGAAAAACATTAGTAGTTGGATGTGGTAGAATCAAGGATGGATTGCAAAGGATATAGAGATACAGGGAGGTTAGTGAATGATGTTGGTGTAATCTAGATTTAGATTTCCTTTTTTTATCTCATGCCTTTAATTTCTTTCTCTTAGTATTTCTTGCTCCTTTTCTGTATTTTGCATAACATTGCTTATCCCAGAAGAGAATAGTGCTATGGGGATGGATGGATGGATGAGGTTCATAAAAATGGGTAATTTATTGAACAAGGTATTCTGAGCAGAGAAGTTTAGTTGCTTTGATTAAGTATATGCTTGAAACAACCTTTACTGCCATAATTCACTTGATTCTGTGTAGTATTCATTCACCAGTCCAGGATGTTGCTTTATATATTTCTCCCTTGACTTAAGTTTTCTTCTTTTCCTTTATATTATAGGTGAAAATAAAGGTGGGAGTGGGAAACAAGTTCCCCTTTTTAAGACCTACATTTCTCCATGGGAAAGATCTCTAGGCATTACCCCACAAGAGAAAAGTGAATTCAGCATTGATCTCTTGTCTTATGCCAACAAAGCAGACCTCTGTCATTATAAATCTTTCAATAGGTAAGGGAAAATGATTACTAGAGTGGTGGGGCTGGCAGCAGATATGAAATACGAGGGATGATGAGATAAATTACATGTTGATTTGCCCTGACATTTTAGCTTATTGATCAGGAGTGCTTCCCTTCTAACTAATGAGGGGGCATGAAAAACAGTGACCATGGAGAGCACCTTCCCTTGCCATGTTGCTGTTTGCAGCAAAAATGTAAATCTTTCATGGGTCAGGAATGGAACTTGTATGAGAGGAATCAGCAGTTCTCAGACTCAAGTGAACCATTACATCATCATAACCAAGCTGCATCCCATGGCCTTGAAGAGAAAGTTAAAATATCTATTGACTCAGAAGTGCTGTAGAAAAATGTCTAGAATTTAAATCTTGGAGAAGACTTACAAGAGGCTTTGGTTGCTGTGTCCTGCAGTAGGCAGTTCTTTTGTATGAATACAGCTCATTTAAATCTGCAGGAAAGAAACTAATCTAGCTGCGTCACATTTGTGAGACTTCTACTGAGAAGAAGTTTCCTGAATATGGGGTTTAAGTGTCTGTTGAAAAGAGACTTCCTGCCATGTCTAGCGTGAAGTTTGATAGCAGGATCTCCCAGTACTACAGGAGAAGAGTCTACATCTTGACACCAATGATTACACAATGGCTACATACTCTCTGTGGACTCAGTTAACTGCTAGTCAAGTTATCAGTGCCTTGCTCTAGCATCAGAACCAAATGGCAACCCAGTTAGAGCTTAGAAGATGAACCAGCAGCTCCAGTATAAGTGCTGTCCCCAGATCCACCAACCAGTGCTGGAGCAGCTGCAGTCCTCCAATGCCAAATCCTCCAATGCCAGTCTTCCAAAGCCAAATACCTGCTTCCCTGCCTGACAAATATGATGGGAATCCAAGCAAATTTACTACCTTCCTAGCCCAATGTAAACCGTATCTCCCTTAGACGTGAGCATTTTCCCACTGACCTCAAATAGGTTTTATTGTGGGAGACTTGGAGGTAATGAATAACCTACTTTTCTGATGCAAAAAAGCCCATACTTGAGACTGCAACACTATTCCCATTTTCTCCAGGAAATTCAAGCTGCTTGGACTTCCTTAAGGTTCAACTGATTCATGCCAAAGACTCCTTAAAAGAGCTCTGCTGACTTTCATCATTAGAAAGGATCCCCTCATTGCTGCTGCAAATCATGTCTAGTTTTCTATCAGTTTTCTCATCTCCACATGATTATCTAAGAAGCTGGATGCCAAGTTTATTGGACCATTCCCTGAAAAAGCAAACATCAATCACATGGCCTTTTCCTTGAAGCTTCCAGCCTACCTGAAAATATTTGCCAGTCTTCCACCATTCCTTCTTGGGCCTGGAACACTCCCTTTGCCCCTGTACACCTGTCTCCTGTTCCCACATCTCGTTGTGGGGCAGGAAGAATTCAAGACATAATGTATTTTTGATTGTCAGCACACAAGGGATAAACTGTAATATTTGATTCGTTAGCAAATAAGGAAATCCACTCCTATAGTCCTCTTCTAGGACATGTAGTTAACAACTGGCTGGGAAGAACAAAACTTGTAGCTGCATCTACCAGCCTGGTTCCTACTCATTCTCTCTCACAGGAATGGACAGTGGCTGTTAGAGTTACTAGAATAACTAACTAGATTAAGTATAATAGATAGACTAACATCTGATCTACAGGGCTATAAATACTCTACAGATCCTATACACTGAGAAGAAAGATATAGAAAAGACATCAGAAGAACAAAGGAGGATACTTAGGAAACATTGTGAAACTGAGGAAATGTATGTGCGAGGATATGGTGAGGGTGTAAAGTATGTATTGGATATTAGTGATGAAACAACATGGAGAGATCTGGATTGCTTGCACAACTGGGTCCTCACTATGAGGCACTGCTTTCCTTCAACCAGCAGGAAACAGAATGTATTGCACTTCATACAATGCTATGGTATTAAGTCCAGTTTCCCTGAACAAGATCCTGTTCTACCCAGAATGAAGTTCCTTCAGGAAAGGTGCCTTGAAATTTAATCAGAACTTGCCTTATGATTTCAAATGCTGGGAGTCAGGTGGCATCATTATTATTATTATTATTATTATTATTATTATTATTATTATTCAGCATAGTGAAGCATGAA